GCCCCCTTTTCTTTGCTGATGTGCACACCCTCTGCTTTCTTTCTTCCATTCTCCTAGGGCCCTTCTTTGATGTCTGCAGCTTGTTTCCTGGTCCATGCAGCTCTGCTGGCTCACTGTGCCTCTGTGCCTTTCTTTCTAAAAGGCTAAATAAACTCCTTGCATTAGAGTTCTTGGCTCTGAGTTTTTTTGCTGAACTCAGGAACTGAGGTCTAACACTGCCACTAACATAAGTGCTGAAAAAAATTCATCAAATCGTCCCTCTCACCCATGAACAATTCTGCAAGCAGAAGCAGTAATTGAGAGTGAGTGTCAGGGACTTCCCACCACACCTTTGTCTTATAAATAACTTTTGTCATGCTGCAGGGAAGGTTCTAGACTTGCATTCTTTTGTAACTCCAGTCTTTGTTGTCCCTTTTGTGAGCCAGAGGCAGTGAGCTGGATTGGCTCCTTCTCATATGCTCCCAACCATGGACTGAACCCGTGACCCAGGCATGTGCCTTGACCGGGAACTGAACTGGTGATATTTTGCTTTGTAAAATGATGCCTGACCAACTGAGAGCGGAGGCCATTTTTAATAAAAAAGCTCTTTATATATAAAGATATTTAGGATATATTTTTAAGTAACAAAAGAAGGTTCAGCACATTTTGTATAGTATACTAACATTTGTATAAAGGTCAGTATGTTCTTGCTTGTGCATAAAGAAGGCATGAAAGGAAAAAATGAGACAATAATAACTGGTGGCCCAGGCAGGGGACCTTGGCAGTAGGAGGACAGGAGTTAGAGCGAGACACTGTGATTTTGAACCATGAGAATATATTCCCTACTCAATATGCAAATTAATATCATTTAATTAAAAATGGTCTCTGTTTTATTGCTCTTTCTATAAAAGTGGATTCCTGGTGTTTCAATTCTTGGACATTTCTTTTGTATATCTGATGTTCCTGTTAGCTTTTCTGGAATATTTCTTGATCATGGGACAGAAAAGGAGAAGCATAAATTAAGTTTTGCTTATAGGGCAAATTTTAAACTTTTCATGTGTGTGTCCTCAAATCTTTGTGTGCTTTGGTGGGGTGTATGTGTATGTACATGTATGTGTGTACATACGTGTGCATGTACATGTGTGCATTGGTGGGTGTGTATATTCCTAATCAACTGGTAGGGAGAGGATAAATTTCCAGCCAAGAGTGCCAATGTGTGAAAGGGCCAGAGATTGCTAGATCTGCTCTGTGGGAGTGTGTAAGCCACTCTAACTGCTCTTACGGAGTTATGTGGGGGGTAGTGTGAGGCAAGGCTGAAAAGATGTTAGAGACAAATTATGAAGGGCCTTGGCAATGTGCTAGGACTACTGAAACTAAGGACTACTGGCCTTTATGCCTCTTGCCACAGGGTATCTGCTAGGGATCTGTGAGCAGAGGAGAAAGGGGGTCAGGTCAGTGTCTAGAAAGAGGCAAAAGTGGTGGGACCAGACAGACCTATCTAGTCCAGAGGACCTAGAGAGAAGGCTCCTCCAAATCAGATTTTCCTTTTAGGGATAAAATACTTCACATTCACTGATCACTGACACATATCTGTGTGCTGACTCATATTTATTTATTCCTTCATTAAAAATTTATTGAGTGCCTTTTCTGTGCCAGGTAGGGGTACAAAGATCAGAGACATGATCCCTTGATAAATTTGCAGGGAATTTACCATTTAGAAGGGAGAGAAGCAAACTGGCAGAAACGATTCCATGTGATCCTTGCTATACTAGGATAGAATAAAAAGGGGGCTTGAGTCAGCCTAGGGGACTGCAGGAATGCTTTATCCAGGTGATACTTGAAAAAAAAACATGAGTTTTCCCAGCAGGTGATGGTGGATCGAGGAAGGAAGCGGTATGTGCTATTTGGAAGGGTGGGGGGGCAGAGAAAGAGAAAGAAAAATTGACTAGGGCTGATTTAATCAGAAATCTTACTGGAAGGATGTCAAATAGTTTGTAGAATTGTTGGGAAGGCTGCAAAGCCACTTTTGAAAATTCAGGCAGCAGTAAGCGTAGGCTAGGCAAAGTCTAAGATTATGGCAGAATGATGCTTCAAAACCAGCCTGGGGTAGCTACTATTGTCAATGCTTCTGGACAACTGTGAACCCTAGTTACAGACCTGCTGCTGCTGCTTTTGGCTGTATCTGTGGCTGCCATTATGGCCTCTGCTCTCTACCAGGATGGACCCTTGCCTGCTTCTTTACACAAACACCTCTGGTTGAAATTTGGGGTGGGCACATCTGATTGGCTGGGCCTAGGTCACATGCTGCCTTTGTAGTGGAAGGGGAGTCTTTGAAAGCAGTTATGAGGCTTTTTCAGCTTCTATTACAGAGATGGGGGGAAGAAGGATGGGTGGCATCCTCACACCTAGATTCAAGGAGAGAGCAGGTCCCCTAAATAGGAAGAAGGTTTGAATGATGGGCAGCCCTCTTCTCCTAATGAGGGTAGAAGGGTGAAAGCAAGAGAGGACATTCCAGATAATTGTATGTGAAAATGGGAAAAGGTTCAAAGGCATGAGCCGGCATCAGTGCCAGGAGGCTTTCTCATAACTCAAAGCAAATGGGAAATAAAGAAAGGAAGGCAGGAAAGACAGGGCTTGTTTTGAAGGCCTTATGCCTACAAGTTTTGACTGTCCTCTTAAGGGAAGTATGGCAGATACACTTGGGCGCTCACTCAGTCTCCATCGTTGTTTGTTACCAATGGAATTCCAATTTAATATGGGTGGCAATATACCCAGGTAAACACGCTTACTGCCCTAGATCCCTTGTAGCTAGTTGTAGCCTTGTTACACAGGTCAAGTAAATAAACAAACTGAGAGTTCTTGTCTCTCCCCTTCCTACCTGTATACGCATGCAAGGTCTGGAGGTACGTAGAACATCTTAGGACAATGAGACAAGCAGGGGATGAGGCCTAGGCATTAAAAATGGCGGAGCTCCGTTCTCTGTTCTTTCTGAGAATTGCCTACTCCCAGGTTTGTGAGAAACCCCAGTGTCGTAGGTTAAGTCCCTTGAGTTGGGTTTTCTGTTATTTGCAGCTCGGCATGATACTAACTGAAAGAGGGAAGGAGACCGACAGGAAACTAATGCAATTATTTATGTGACTGGAAGCCGGGCAGAGGCTGGGACTGGGCGGAGAGGATGGAGTTGAGGATGGGAATGTGGAGAGTGTGTATGTTCAGCTAAGACTCGCACGGGTTGGGGGCTGTGTGGGGAATGTGCTTCAGGTAGCACAGAAAGCTATCTCCACCCTTGGGGTGTCAAGGAACTAGCAAGGGCAGCTGGAAAGCGTGGGGTGGGAGGGAGATGAAAGTAGACAAAGGGGAATCAAAAGGGTGTGCAGGGTCTCAAAGACTAACCCCACAACTTTCTTTTTCTTTTGTTTTAGTCTGTTAATCTTGAAAGAGAGAGAGAGAGAGAGAGAGAGAGAGAGAGAGAGAGAGATGCAAACCAATTTGCTGCTCTCCTCCTTTACACATTCGTTGGTTGCTTCTTGTTTGTGCCCTGACCAGAGATGGAATTTGCAGCCTTGGTGTTATCAGGGACAACACTCTAACCAATGGACCTGGCCAAAGCCTCTCACAATTTTCTTTCATTAACAAAACAAAAAACAGGGTCACCCTGGCCAGATAGCTCAGTTGGTCCTGGTAAGTCCCGGCTGCGGGTTGGATCCCGCACCAGGGCACATACAAGAATCAACCAATGAATGCATAAGTAAGTGGAACAACAAATTAATGTCTCTCTACCCCTTCACCCCCATCTCTTTCTAAAATCAGTAAAAAAATACTGGGTTGATATATGATAGAAAACTAGTTAAGCAAAACACCATCTGTTAAGAAAATTAAAATCCCACCACCCAGAGATAATAATTACTGCTAATATTTTGGTTATTTCTTTCTAGCCATAATTCATTCTCTTTTTCTCCCATTCTTGCCACATAAATGAATTGTTGAATAAAAATGTGATCATAAAGTAAATTGTTTTCCAACTTGTCTAACGTTTTGCATTTGGCAGTGCATTGGGTAGGCCTTCCCACGTCATTATTAGCATTTTAGTGGCTACTTGCATAGTGTTCCACTATGTGGATGTAGCTATTATGCTTTAGAACTTGGACTTTTCAAAGTTTTTATCTCCCATTTCACACCAGTTCTGGACGTGGTAGGGGAACAGGGGGAGGTAATTCTGGGACGGAGGGAGAGGCAACATTTGCCTTGCCATCATTTTTAATGAGATGATGGCTTGTTTAGGATGTGACAGCCTGAAAACTTTTAGCATTATTTATATTCATTTTATTTTGCGATGTTACTTTTCACAATGAGGAACAAGATTTTAAAACTGTTAGCTTACCATTTAGAATAAAGTAAGACTTTTATCTTTAGTGTAAATAGCTTATGTTTGCAGCATTGATATTTACTGGCTTTTCTTTGGGACACGGTAAGTTTTTTGTAGGCGCTATGTTGGGCCAGGTTATTAATTCAGGGAATATACAAAAAACAGAAATAAAAAAAGAAGTTACCCGCTTTCGCAGCGAGCAGGGTTCGAACCTGCGCGGGGAGACCCCATTGGATTTCAAGTCCAACGCCTTAACCACTCGGCCATCGCTGCTACGGAGAGAAAGAGAAGGCGGAGACACTTTAGTATATTAATAGCCATGCGCAAGCGCACCAGGCCCAAAAGTAGGCGGGGCCTACGAACTTCCGGAGTTCGGCTCTAAGGTGGCCGAAGCTGATTGTTAAGTCGTAGGAGATACGTCGTGGACGCGAAGAAATAATAAGAAACTCTCTAAGGAAATTAAAAAAAATAGGTTCTAGAAACCTTTCCCTTCGCTTTTCTCCGAAAATCACAAGCATGTTCGGCCTCCGGTCGCTGACCTGGCTTTTGTCCTCCCACATCCCGGTTAAGTCCCCGAGAGAGCTGTGAAACAAAGATCTGTCCCGTGTGTTGCTGCGGACCCGCGCTTTGCAAAATTTCTGGGAGCGGATGCGCCCTTCCGGCAGGATTTCCCGCGCGGATGGCGTCGCTTTGAGCCCTCCTCTTTTTGAGCAGTTGCGGGAGGGGTGAAGGTAGAGTCGTCTGCCCACTGCTGGTGGGCTCCCTGTCGCACGCTCCTGACCGTGCAGTGGCTAGAGATTCTGCTTTCCCCAGTAACCCCTTCACTGCCGAGCCCTACTGGAAGAGACCAGGGTCCAAGTGAGGTCTCAGCCTTAAGCAGTGGGACCTTGGAGGTGGTTTGAGAACAAAGTTCTGCGCGTTAAGTCTGCATTCTGTTTTTAAATGCCATTAACACCCTTCCTTGTTGAGTGTAGTTACTGCCTTAGGTGCTTTACTTGCATTATTTCCTCAAAGCTGGGGAAGCGGGCTCGGTCTGTACCTCCTTTGCGCACCTCAGGAAACTGCGGCACAGAGATGCGGCTCACACTTTGGCTTGGAGGTTCATGCCAGGGCGCGTGCGCAGTTTCGTTTCTTTTCTTTTTTAAAATTTAATTATTTTTCAAGTACAGTTTTCTGTCTTTGACTCCCATCCCAGCACCTCCCTCCCCGCGGGCACCGCCCCCCCCCCTGTGCGCCCCACCTCTCTCCCATTTCCACTCCCCTTGTTGTCCATGTGTCTTTTATACTTGTTCCTGTAAATCCTTCCCCCTTTCCCCCTGAAATTCCCTCCTCTCTCCCCTCTGGTCGCTGTCCTCCTGTTCTCTATTTCAGTGTCTTTGTTTTTATTTTGCTTGCTTGTTTCTACAGGATCACGTGGGCCGGCAAGCAGCTGGTTCTGTCTGTTGATGGGCAAATTGGGCAAAACAATAGGTGACCCTTACTAGTTTAAATTTCTAAAACTGTGCATGGGAAGGTCATCTTTTTTCTCATAATGTTACAGTTCATGTTAAGGGAGGTAGGCAGATTGACCTTTTGGAAGCCTGGGTAATGACCTCATTTGATAGCTGTGTGAATTTTCATGAAACTTTTCAGTATTATTTCTCGTAAGTTAAGTATGGTGCTAAAGTGTCTAAGTAGATTTAATTGTGGAAAGGGAGCAAGATTCTTGAGAATTGTAGAGTAAATTTTATCCAATTGAGATTGTTGCTTTTAGAAATTTTATCTCTTAAAAATTTAGCAGAGCTACACGGGTGATCCCAGTTTCTCTGTGAATACCATAAGGAAACACAGTTATGTATGAACTTTACTTGCACTTTTACAATGGGTATTAATCAAGAAGAAATATTTTTTGTTTTTTGTTCTTAGATTTACATGTGCTCTGAGATAACCTGTAACTTAATTTTTACTATTTTATTAGTTGTATCTTGGTTTTGAAGTCTTTTTAATTCTGTGCAATTGAATGATAATATTTAGCAAAAATTTTTTTCTCTTTAAAAAAAGAATTTAAAGTACAGCTGTATTCTGATTCTTAATGAAAAGGAGTGGGAATGACAGCAACAAACAAAATTTCACCACTGAATATTGTGACGTGACTGTAGCAGTCTTATATTTGAAACTCAGTCAGAAAATAGCTGTTTTCCAAAACAGCTAAGTCTACAGGTCCAAAAAAAAATGAAGGTTATTTAAAAAAATTTCAAAGCCCATTCATCTCCTTCCCATCCCCCAAATTAAGCACATTTTGCTTGGCTGTAATGAAGTGGCAAACACATGATTGCACTGACATCACAGAGTAGTTGCCTATAAAATGCCTTCTGAGCTGGGCTTCTTTGTCTCACAGGTTGTCATTCTTGTCTGGGAGAGCAGTTGTCTGAGCAACCTCCAGGTCATGCTCATACTGTGCTGCCAAAGCTGGGTCCCGGCATCCTCTGGTGGGAGCAAGAGCAGGCGTGGCAACAGACTCCAAGTTATGATCTCCAGTTAGTTTTCTAGCAAGCCAGAGGAAAAGCTTTTCAGAGTTGTAGTTACTTTGGGCAGAAATGTTACAGCACTGAAGGAAGATTGTTCTCGGGTGGAAGACAATTGATTTTCTTAACTTTCCCTTTGTTAATACTCACTTTGTTGCCACAAAACATGATGGGAATGTTTTCACATACTCGTACCAGATCTCTGTGCTACTAGTTCTTATAAGTAACTCTTGAAGTTACATCAAACACTATCATGGCACAGTGGGCTTGGATGTAATAGCCATCTCTCAGTACACAAAATTTCTCCTGACCAGCTGTATCCTATCCATTGTCAAATTCACCAGGCAGGTGATGTTTTGTGAATGGAAGTTTTTTCAGTACCGCCATCATCAACCAGTACAACCACTACAACACAACTCGGCGTTCTCCTTGGGCAATTGTCATGATACTACTTCCAGAAGCGCCTCCAGCTTGTCTGACCAAGAGCTGGAAAAATGGTGCAAGTGCAAATCAAATCCTTTGTCTCATCCTTAACCTCCTCTTCCTCTTTTAAGAGTTCTCTTAACTGCCTAAAAACTTGACAGGAATGGGAATTTATTATGGTTAAAATAGTTCAACCAAAAATTCTATGCTGAAGGATTTTTGTTTCTGTTTTTTTTGGTTGTTATTTTTAAATCTGGGTGGGGCCTGAGAACTTACTCAGAGTGTGTTTTTGTTGAGGGGAAAGGAAGACTGAAAAGGAAAAGAATATATTACAAAAGTCAATGTGTATTTGGTGACAATTGTGATTACAATTTCTTTGCAACATTTCAAAAGTGAAATACAGTTAATATTTAATTTTTAGCTCATTTGAGTTAAGTAGGCTTTTCAAAAAAAAATGCTTTCTCCCTTGATATTTCATGTTGCTAAAATGATCCAAGAGATCAAAATTATTATTTTGTATATTTAAAAAGTGTGAATTTCCAGATGAGTTCTTTTAGATCTAGCATTAGGTCTTTTAGCATTGCCATTGAATGCAGTGAGCAGGAAATAAGGGATAGGTAGTAAAAGGTATACGTTCCCACACAATTATAATATAAAATATATTATGATTCTTGAGAACAACATCAGAAAACATTGATTTGCAAGCATGGACATTTTAGCTTTTAAAGATTCCCTGGTAGTGCTGATTGCCTTCTCCTCTATGCCACTGATTCATGCTCCCAGATTCTGTTCTTTCATGTGGTAGTTTTTATTAAGCTAACTTGTGTGTAGAAGGCAAATGTCTTGGGGTTTTCTCTAAAACTTCTTCTTGATGCCCCTGGCAGAGGTGAAATACTAAAAGGGATGGGTATGTATTTAGGAGCAGTAATATTTCATTTCTTTGTTTTTTTAAATGGCAAGTCAAATTTTATTTGGAATTATTTTGAATTATTAAAAGTATGCTCTACTTTTAATTGATAATAAGACACTGTATATAAAAAGAGAGTAGGAAGGTGGGGAGGCTGTGCATCTCTCCCTCTCCGCTCTCCCAAGCATCCATTTCTAGGCCCCAGCAGGGACCATCCCCTCCCCGCCTTGTGGTGTATGGAGATAGGCAGGCATGGAAATGGTGCGTGTGTAGGGATGTGTTTTGGGGGGCATCTGTGATGGTTAGTGGTCAAAAACTAAGAGGGCTTTCTCTCATCCTCCATCAGAGCTGGCACCTGAGGAGGGGTCTTGAGGGAGCTAAGAGGATCCACAAATGTGCTTCTGGTTATGAGATGGTAGAAGATTCAGCATCCAAAAGTGACCCAGTGACTGGCCCAGCTGAGCTCTGACCTTGTGGCCACTGTATGCCATGCCACAGCCCTGCCCCTCTGTGGTATCATCTGTATCAACATTGAACATGGAGCCCGGTTAGGCCAGGTGGAAGACGGCCAGGGCCCCGAAGATCAGGTTTCAGGCTCCTACCCCCGTGCTCAAGTAATGCTGGTGTGAACAGTCTGGTGGGCACTGTTGGAACAACACAGGCACTGAGGATCCAAGCCAGGTGCTTATGGAGGACGTGCTCTGCTCCACGTAAGTGGTAAATGCCTGTGGCAGCAGTACTGCAGGCAGGTGGAAGCTGGAGCCAGACAGAGGGGCGCTGGCTGCGTGAATGACCAGCATGGCCGAGAAGGTCCCTAGGTAGAGAGCATTCTTGAAAACATGTTTAGCCAATAAGACATGGGCAGGTTCCAACTTGTGGCAAATTCCACCATGGGCTGAGGCAGCTTCATTTTCAGTGGCCTGGAAACCGTCAGGTCCCATTCCAGCCTATCCTCCTCCTCAGTGAAGACAGCTCCTGCCAACATGGACGTGGCCTCCAAGAGGAAGCCCACAAAATAGTTGCTGAAGTGGAAGGAGACAGCACTTTTGTAGGCTCACAGCCACCTGGCTTTGCATTTCTTGTTTCTAAGGATGCAGTCACCATCAGGGGGGATGAAGTGTAGAAAGAGGTAAGGGCCCACACAGGTGGCCAGCACAGGGCACGGGGGGCCAGCACCAGGCTCCTGGCCACCTTCTGCAGCCATCAGTGGCTCAGCAGGTGAGCTTGGGCAAGCCTATATGTAGCTGTGGAAGGATGTCCAGGGCTCAAAGACTACGGTGCTCATGAAGTAGAGGTAGCCTATGAACTCCATGGGAGAGGGCACTGCACTCACTTCACCCTGGTCCAGGTCAAAGCCCAGAGACACAACCACAGTGTCTCTGGCCACAGTCAGCTGGGTCCTCTTCATGGTGTCCACATGTACATCTCACCCATGAGCAGGTAGATGACGATGGTGATGGAGAGGAAGGCTTTGTGATGGGAGGAATGTTGGCAGAGGAACAGCACAATGTAGCACAGGAGGCTGAGCAGCAAGCACAACACAAACCATGTGCAGCTGGAAGAAGTGGTAAAACCCATCTGCCACGGTGCTTGTGTGTTTCAGGTAGGATGGCAACCCACACTTCCAGAACAGGCGGCAGGCAAGGCAGATGGCAAGGAGCAGCCAGATCTGGTCAAGGCCCTGCTGTGCAGTAGGCAGCAGACAGCCCTGCAGCAGCTGCTGGGGAAATTCCTGGAAGCTGAAGGTGGCCATCGCAGCCCCGAGTGGATGGATGGACAGATGAATGCTGAAAGAAACATTAAAGCTGGTTTAATCTGTTTATTTACAGTGAGGGAACTGTGGTCCATGAGTGGCTTGCCCTGTGCGAGATAGCTAATTATGGGCAGATTTAAGATGATAATTTATTATATTAGTCCAGTGTTCTTACTAGATTTTATCACCTTCACGTATTCATTATTAATATCTAGTTCAGTGGCATGTAGATCAAGAAGTGTGTTATGTGGCGGTAGACAGAGCCAACGGTAGGGGAGAGTTGTGAGTTGAATGTTGAAGGCCTATGAGATGTCAGATACTGAATCTATCATCTTGAATAATTTTTGTTCTTCTTTATTCCAGTATCCATCCTCCTAATCGATGATGATACTTCAGTTTTGCTTAAGACCACCTCTCCCCATTTGGATGCAACCTTACTTCGGATTTTAAGGTAGCCCTTTCTCCTCAGGCCAAGGGAGAAGCATGTGACTTATACTGGTTTTCTGTTGCTGTATAACCAATTACCATGAATTTAGTGGCTTAAAATAACATAAATTTATTATCTCACGGTTTCTGTGGGTCAGTGGAGTGTGGTCATAAGCATAGTCCTGAATTGACTGGTCCTCTCCTTAGGGTCTCACCAAGATGGTGATTGGGACTTTGGTGTCATCTAAGGCTTGGGGTCCTTTTCCAGGGTCACTATTGTTGGCAGAATCCAGCTCCCGTAGTTGCAGGACTTGTCTGCCAGTGGAGGAACATTCTCGGCTCCTAGAGGCTGCCCACTGTATCTTGTCATTGGAACTTCTCTACAACATGGTGGTTGGCTTCTTCAAGGCCATCATGAGAATTGCTCTCTAGTCTCCCACAATGGAATTTTATGTCATATTGAGTCATAATAACATTTTGGTCAACAACGAACTGCATATATGATGGTGGTCCTATACGACTGACATGCAGCTGAAAAATTCCTTGACATCATCAACTAATGATGTCATAGCCATCACAATGTCATAGCAGAATGTGTATCAGTTGCCTACAGTATTCAGTACAGGAATATGCTGTATAAGTTTATAGCTTAGGAGCAATAGGCTCTACCATATAGCATAGGTGTGTAGTAGGCTATACCATCTAGGTTTGTGCAAGAGCAGCCTACGATGTTCATACAATGATGGAATTGCCTAATGACACATTTCTCAGAATGTATGCCATCATTAAGTGACCATAATGTAATCACAGCAGTGACTTTTTCATTATATTTACCAATTCTGCTCAAGTAAGGTGAGTTATATAGGTATGTACAGTGGGGGCAGGCATCTCAGGTGCCATCTTAGAATCTTGCCTATTACACAGCTCCAGCTAAGCCAGTCAGATCCTCTCAAAAATCCCTGTTCTTTCTATCACACAATTGTATTTTTTTGGATGTCCACACAGACCACACACACATAGTAATCAATGAGAAGTGATCAGAGTCTGGAAATTTTAACTTAGCTGCCTTGTGTGCTTCATTTGAAAGGAATGTAGTTGGCAACAACTGCAGAGTTTTAGAGCCTGAGCTGCCATTCAAGATTCTTGAATTTAGTTCTATATTGATTGGAGAATAACTAGCTGTACATTTTGGAAAAGACATGTAAGGGGACTTAGTTCAGGTTGGCCAATAAAAAGTACTAAGTTATTGGCAACAAAACCATCATGGAAATTTAGTTGGTAAGTTATAGGCATCATGAAAAGTGATGAAAATAATTATCATGGAATTTCTGCATTGTAAATGACTGTATGATTGAAGCCTAAGCAATTTATTGTGGATTGCTTTTCAGTCATCATATTGCATATATATATTTGTGTGTGTGTCTGTATGTAGTAAGATATTTGGGGCCATTCTATTACTGATAAGCTCTTAAATGGAGTTACACTTTTACCCTAAAACAGTGTATTTGTAAGAAAGTTATATCTGTATATCTATATAATAATATGTGCTTAAAACATAGGAAAGGGACTTCTCAACTTGGGTGAAATTAGTAAGATTTTCACTGATCAATAGTAATTATTAAAATTATGCTTTTAGACTTTATGGCACTTTTTTTTCTGAGACTATAACCTATCAGATGCTCAAATAAGATTTTAAGTGAATAAACATCTACTTACTCATAAACATATTTTAATTTAAGCATAGTAATTTGATTTTTAAAATACAAGCTTAACAATTGGTATTATATACACATATAAGTACTGTTTTCAATTAAACTTTTCATCTAGTGATACAAACACTTGTTAAAGGCAAACTACTGTGATGTGACAGGCATGAAGAAAACAGCATTCCCTGCCCCTTGCTCCCGTCCTCACATCTCACTCTCCAGATATAACCACCCTTAACTCCTATAGTTGTTTTTTCTGGTATTTACTCTCATCGTTTGTGATTTTCTTATACTGCTGCTCCTTGAATTTTTAGTTTCAGATTTTATCTCCTCACCATATATTATGAAATATAAGCCTTCAGCTTTTAAAAAATACCCCTCCTGTTCCTGTCTCTTACTTCTCAAACGGTGTCACAATATTTAGTTAAAACATATTCAGTGTTTATATTACTATTGTTATGTAATTATTATTCATAGCTAAGCCACATGTTATATTTTGATTACATTTCCTTTCTACTAGAATCTTTATTTTCCAGGCATTAATGATTATATATATATACTTTTTATTGTTGTTTAATTATAGTTGTCTCATATTTTCTCCCATTATTCTCCCCTGGCCTATCCATCCCCAACCTCCCACATCCCCTCCTCCCTGCCCTCCGTTGTCCACGTCCATGGGTCCATTTGTTTATTTATTTATTGTTGTTCAAGTACAGTTGTCTCCATTTTTACCCCACCATGTCACCTGCCCCACCCATCCCCGCCTCCCACCCTTGAACCTACATGTGCTTTGGCTTTGTCCATGTGTCCTTTATACATGTTCCTTGATGGCCCTTCCCCTATTTTCCCACATTATCCCTTTCCTCTGGTTATTGTCAGTCTGTTCTTGATTTCCATGTCTCTGGTTATATTTTGCTTACTTACTTGTTTTGTTGATTAGGTTCCACTTATAAATGAGATCATGGGGCACTTGTCTTTCATTACCTGGCTTATTTTGCTTAGGATAATGCTCTCCAGTTCCATCCATGCTATTGCAAAGGGTAGGAGCTCCTTCTTCCTTTCTGCTGCATAGAATCCCATTGTGTAAATGTACCAGTTTTTGGATCCACTCATTTACTGATGGGCACTTAGGTTGCTCGCCAGCACTTGGCTATTGTAAATTGTGCTGCTATGAACACTGGGGTGTAAGGGTTCTTTTTAACTGGTGTTTTAGGGTTCTTGGGGGATAATCCCAGCAGTGGAATTGCTAGGTCAAAAGGCAGTTCCATTTTTAGTTTTCTGAGGAAATTCCATACTGTTTTCCACAGTGGCTGCATCAGTCTGGATTCCCGCCAACAGTGCACTAGGGTTCCCTTTTCTCCACAACCTCACCAGCACTTGTTTATGATGGCTACTCTGACCAGTGTGAAGTAGTACCTCATTGTGTTTTTAATTTGCATCTGTCTGATGTCTAGTGATGCTGAGCATCCTTTCATATGTCTCTGGGCCATTCGTATGTCCTCCTGGGAGAAATGTCTGTTCAGGTCTTTTGTTCATTTTTAAATTTTTTTCCTTCCTGGAGTGGAGTTGTGTGATTTTTTAATATATTTTGGAGACCAAACCCTTGTCTGAGGTATCATTGGCAAATATATTTTCCAGTACTGCTGGTTCCCTTTTCATTTTGTTGATGTTTTCTTTAGCCATGCAGAAGCTTTTTAGTTTGATGTAGTCCCACTTGTTTATTCTTTCCTCTGTGTTGCTTGCTCTAGGGGACATATTGTTGAAAATGCTGCTGTATGGAATACTTGAGATTTTCATGGCTATGTCCTCCTCTAGCACTTTCATGGTGTCACAACTTATATTTAAGTTTTTTATCTATCTTGAGTTTATTTTTGTGTATGGTGTAAGTTGGTGATTGAGTTTGATTTTCTTTTGCATGTAGTTGTCCAGATCTCTCAACACCATTTGTTGAAGAGGGTATTTTTACTCCATTTTGTGCTTTTCCCCCTTGTCAGATATTAATTGATCATAGAGACATGGGTTTATTTCTGGGCTCTCTATTCTGTTTCATGTGTCTGTTCTTATGGCAGTAGCAGACTGTTTTGATTACAGTGGTCTTGTAATACATTTTGATATCAGGGATTGTGATCCCTCCTACTTTGTTCTTTCTCAAAATTGCTGAGGCTATTAGGATTGTTTATGGGTCCATATACATTTTTGAGATATTTGCTGTGTATCTGTGAAATATGTCATTGGTATTTTAATAGTGATTGTGTTAATCTGTAAATTGCTTTGGGTAGTATGGACATTTTGATGATGTTAATTCTTCCAATCCATGAACACAGTCTGAGCTTCCATTTGTTTGTGTCTTCCTTAATGTCTTTCTTTAGTTTTGTCTAGTTTTCTGAGTATAGATCTTTTACCTTTTGGGCTAGATTTATTCCTTGGAACTTTATTTTTTATGTTGTTCTTTTTAATCTCCTTTATTTCTATGTGATTGTCACTAATTCTTCCCAAATTCTATGTCAGAACTATAAATCTCCCATTATGTTTAAACACAGCTGATTCTCTATTAACATCTATTTTTTCCCCTCTTCTTCCCTTCCTTCCTCTCTTCTCCCTCTCCTTCCTCCCTCCCTCCCTCCCTCCCTTCCTTCCTTCCATTCATGTACCCTTTCGAGAGCTCTTCTAGTCTCTGCTCCAGTCTGGAGCAGTTGCTCTTAAGCCTACTGCTCACCTGTCCCCCTCTCGTTTAATGTATTCTCTTATTTCCTGGATCACATCTTTCTGTTTCACAGTTTACTTTCGCAGCTTAGGGGAGCATGTAGTACAGTAGCTTCCTCAGAAAGGTGAATGAGAGGGAAAATATATTTTTCAACTATGCATGTCTAAAAATGGTTAGACATTTTCCATGTGTTTGAGAGTATAACTGGGTAAAAAATTATAGGTTTAATCAAAGTTTAACAAGAAGCCTTATCATTTTTTAAAATAAGATTTCCCAAGGAAAAGGTCCATCAAAAGCTTAATTTTGAATTTATTTTGAAAGATGCAAACTATCTGAATCTGATCTAGTTAAAAGTAACCGGCTCACCTCTCTGTTTTCTAGCCACATATGTAAAGTTTTTCTCAGAAATTTCTGAAGTTTTCCTTAGAATTATGAACATCATGTGTGAAGTCAGATTGGGATTTCTGCCCCTGGGAGAATAAATGAAGAACCAGTTGGGTTGGGAACAGTAATCAAATTAAACACTTTTGGGAGATTAGCATTTAAGGCTTTTTGTCCATTGGTTTATACATGAGAAATCTAACATTTTTCTTTTAAAAGTTTTTTCCCTCTTAT